GAACCGAATCAATATGTTCCTTGGCCTTCGGTTTAGACCAAAACCAATGACAAACCGAGAAATATCCTCATATATATATATATATATATATATATATGTGTGTGTGTGTGTGTATTCATAAACTAATTAAACAAACTTCAACTTCCAATGTTATTTTTATTGGAAGTATGTAAAATATTTTTTTTTTGTAAATATTCGCGAGTTAACATAGAATTGAAGAATTAGCTCCACTTCATATATATATATATATATATATATATATATTATATATATTATGGTCTTAATAATAAAAAAAAGTGTAGAATAAAATCGGATTGAATTATTGGGAGGGTAATAATGGGAGCAAAAAAGTCCAAAGAGTTTCAGTAATTTCAGATTTTACAGAATCTGCGGGCAGTAAATTTATTGTTGAGAGCCATCGCATTCACATAATCAATGTGCCATTTAATGAACATATGAATCCGTACACTACTCTCCCAAGGGTATTATCGTCATTTAATCATCTTTGGCAGGTCTTCATTTTCTCGTTTCACTGTAAATATAAATAAAAGAAAAAAATATTTAAAAATTCCTGAAAAAAATATCTAAAAATTCCTCAAGAAAAAAATATCTAAAAATTTCTGAACTTGTAATTTGGTGTAATATTAATTTTTAAATTTGTAGGTGTACCTATTTATTTCCGAACTTACACTTTTGAACACAATAATTCCTAAACTTGTTTAACAGTTCTAAAATCGTCCATATCGTGATTTAATCATCTTTCACAGGTCTTCATTTTCTCGTTTCACTGTAAATATAAATAAAACTAGTCCAATAAATTGTCGTTGAATTGAATTCGGTTTTATTTTATTATTATTATGTTTTAAAATCTACAAGTTACTAATTAGTTAGTCCAAAGTTTATAATATTAAGCATTAATAGAAAATAAATAATATAGATACTGTTTAAAATTTCAACGGTCAAAGTAGTAAAATATGTAATTAAAAATATTATTTTGACCAGAGTTTTAAGTAATTTTTATAATTTTTGTCTTAAAATTTAATTAAACGGAAGAACGTATCTACAGACACGTGTAACCGACTTACACGTGCCGTGACGTCATCAACCGCGCGCTCGCCGCTCCTCTTCCCTCCTCTGTTCTGCTACCGCGTTCTCACGTGTTGGAAAAGTGCACGCGATTTAACCGTAACGTTTAACCCCGCTTTCTAACCGCAGTTAATATAAACTCAACCTCTTTTACCGTTACGGCCTTTTTTTTTTACCGAGTCCTCTGCCCATAAATACCCCCAACGGCCCATCTCTTCGCCTTCATTTTTTTTTCTCTCTCCCCCTCTTCGTCGTCTTCTTCTTCTCTCTCTATTTTTCAGAGTAATCGTACGGAAACTGCAATTTTTCTTCTTTTTCTTTTCTCTGTCTTCATAACCAGAAACCCTAATTTTCTGCACCGTAGCTTCCCAGAAAAAGCTGAGTAGTAGAATAGGAAAAAGCCTGCGAAGATCGAAATGCTCATCAAAAGCGAATCTGTTGCATCTCGATCACTCTTCTTCCCTTGATTCAATTTCTCTGCTTCAGATTCCAACACTTGATTTTTTTTTTCTTTTCAATTTTTGTTTGCCGTTGATTGGATCTAGTTCGAATTTTCGATGATGCTGCGTGAATCGGACGGCGAGATGAGCTTGGAGACGACGAACTCTCCGATCAGCAGCGGAACAGAGAGCTGCAGCAGTTTCAGCCGCTTATCCTTCGAAGCTCCGCCGCCGACTTCCGTAGCGACGGAGGAGGAGAGCTGCTTGTCTCTGAAACCTCACCGTTCGTCGGATTTCGCCTACTCGGAGATCCGGAGGCGGCGGAAACATGGCCTGACCTTCCGAGATTTTCGCCTCGTGCGGCGCATCGGCGCCGGAGACATCGGAACTGTTTACCTCTGCCGTCTCGCCGGCGGCGACGAGGATCACCGATCGTATTTCGCGATGAAGGTTGTGGACAAGGAGGCGTTGGCGATGAAGAAGAAGATTCACAGGGCGGAGATGGAGAAGAAGATTCTGAAGATGCTCGATCATCCGTTCCTACCGACTCTGTACGCCGAGTTCGAAGCCTCGCATTTCTCGTGCATCGTCATGGAGTATTGCTCCGGTGGCGATTTGCACTCCCTCCGCCATAGACAACCTCACCGGAGATTCTCCCTGTCCTCTGCAAGGTATAAATTTCAAATTTCAAATCTATTCTCTCTGTAATTCCCAATTTTCTTTTAAAATCTGTTGTAAAAAAAAAAGAAAAAACAGTCAGACATGATTTGAAATAACAATAACCAATTGCGATGAACATAATAATTTCTAATATTAATTTAATAATATATTGCATGCATTGATTCTGTACATCTTTTGTTTGCTTGCGCTGCAAGAACTGTGTGCTGTTCTTATCATGTCTGTCTTTTTCCAGTACTTTGCATTTCGCAAAAAAGTCTTTTTCCTCACCCATCAAATATTTTTGCCCAAAATATAAAATATATTATCGAAATAATTAGCCATCAAAATGTAAATTTTTATCTGCCGTGATTTTCAGATTTTACGCCGCCGAAGTCCTCGTCGCGCTCGAATATCTACACATGCTGGGTATAATCTACAGGGATCTGAAGCCGGAAAATATCCTCGTTCGATCCGACGGTCACATTATGCTCTCTGACTTTGATCTCTCTCTCTGCTCGGACTCGATCGCAGCCGTTGAATCCACGTCATCATCGCCGGAATCTTGCCCCACCGGTCAAACCTCCGTCCCTTCGCCGCGCCGGTTGACCAAACTCTCCCGGCTCTTCCACCGAGTCCTCCGGTCCAAGAAGGTCCAGACCCTCGAACCCAACCGGCTCTTCGTCGCTGAACCGGTCACCGCCCGGTCAGGTTCGTTTGTCGGCACGCACGAGTACGTGGCACCGGAGGTCGCCTCCGGCGGGTCCCACGGCAATGCCGTTGACTGGTGGGCGTACGGGGTGTTCATCTACGAGATGGTGTACGGACGGACTCCGTTCGCGGCTCCGACCAATGACGTCACACTCCGTAACATCGTGAAGAAGCCGTTAACTTTCCCGACGGAATCTCCGGCGACGATGTTCGAGCTCCACGCTCGTGACTTGATCTCCGGGCTGCTGAACAAAGACCCGAACAAGCGGATCGGGTCGCGTCGTGGCTCTGCGGAGGTAAAGGTCCATCCTTTCTTCAAAGGCTTGAACTTTGCTCTGATCCGAACGCTGACTCCGCCGGAAATTCCCTCCGCCGCCGGTGCTGGCGGGAAAATGATGAGGAAAACGGCGACGTTTCACGGGGGAGGTGGCGGTGGTAAAACGACAGCGTTTGATTACTTCTGAGTTCAGCGGTGGCACGTGTTAGTCGCTTGTGCCAGATTTTGGTGACTGGCGCGTGACGGTAGCTGTTTTAGCTTTAGTTTGTACATTCAGAATTTTAATTTTTTCTCTCTAAAATCAAAATTGGGAATTTTAGCAAATATAATATCAAGAACCCCGTAAATATAATAGTAATATAATTGAGAAATTTTCTTCCTAGAGACTAAAGGTTCTAATAAAAACTCTTTATAAATATTTTCATAATTGTGCTGAAATTAATAATATTATCAATTTTAATAGAGTTAAAGATTAATATGATAATTGCATTGATAACTTCATAACCAAAACGTTTAATATTTAAAAAAACAAATAAACAATTAGAATGTGTTTCATTTCTCCATGTAAGAACAGAAGACAAAGTCTAAACGTGCATGAACAAATCTTATTATTCCCTCGTTTGTCAAATTCCTTTATATTCCCACGCTTTCTTTTTTTTTTGGGATTCTATATTTATTTTATTTTTGCCTTTTTTGTGGGTCTCAAATTAAAAATATCAAAAAGTATGGATCTATATATATATATATAGTGACGGACACAAAAATGTTATAATCGGGGACAATAACAAAGATAAATTTAATTTTATAACGGGTATTTAAACAAATTTAATTAAAATTTTATAAGTTTCATAAAAAAATTAAATTAAAAAGTATGGCATGTTACTCCGTTACCTTATAAATGGGTCCGCCATATATATATATATATATAGCCTATGAAAATGCTTTTGGCTTTGAGAAAACCCGACCAAGAACATTTTGGCCACGTCGACGGTCTTATACTAAAGATTTGATTAACCATCGGAGGATCTATTCTATGTGATTCTGTCTTAATATACTAATCTCGATTAAGACAGAGATTAACTTCCATGGTCTGACACAGAAAGTACAATTAATTTTATAAAATGGTGGCGTAATTAATGTGACGGAATTTATAAAATAAGTATATAGTTTTCAAGTTCAAGCATGTTCCCAAGTTCTTTTTTTCTAAAGCCCTTTTTGTAAAGTGGTTGGGTCTGCAATTATTAATAATATACAAAGTTATAAATGCGAAATTAATTAACTAGGAAAAATAAGATATATATTATATAAATATATAAACGATTTTAATATCTGTTTGTCCATCGTCTAAGAGACAACGTTAGATATTTTATTATAGGATACAGAATATTATTTAACTAACCAAAATCACGCTAGTATCTATTTAATTTGATGAAATTATTTTTCATTTGATGAAAATATCGAGCTTTTGTTTTTATTATTTTGTTTTGTCTTGACGGTCAACTGGATAACTGAATCAAGCCAAACTAAATCATAAATAATTGTATGTAAATTAAATTAATACTTTTTAAAAACCAATTTTAAATGGAATTGAATCTAAATCCAATAGAAAAATAACAAAAATACATGGAAATAAAAATCTATTTAAAAAATGAATTATTTCTATGAAGATTGAATTTGGATTGGTTTAGATACAAAATAGATTTTTAAATTTAAATTTGTAAAAAATGAATTAAAAAATAAAATATATAATAATTTCAATATATATATATATACACACTAGCGAAACTAAAAAAATCTTAAAAGGGGACACATTTGATTTTATTATGTGATATATACCATTTTGTAATGGGGTATTTTTTGAATTTGGTAGAGAGAAAACACAAATCAAGTTGGGGAAATTTTCTCTTATTATCCGAAAAATGAAAAGAAGCGTTACATATACTGAGTTCGAAAATGAAAGCGGGAAAACAGAAAAACTAAACCGAAATTAACCAATACACAAATCGAACTAAACCAACGAAATATGTTCTCTAATACTCCCCCTCAAGATGGAGAATACAGAGACTGGATTCCCATCTTGCCCATCAAATGGAGTTGTTGCTCGGAAGACAGGGGTTTGGTTAACAAGTCGGCAATCTGATCATGCGATGACACATAAACCGGACGAAGAAATCCAAGCTTGAATTTGTCACGTACAAGATGACAATCCAGCTCAATATGCTTGGTCCGCTCATGCTGAACAGGATTATGAACCATGTGAATCGCAGATTGAGAATCACAATGTAAATCCACAGGTTTCGGACAATCAATTCCAAGTTCCTGCAGCAATGAATACAACCAAACCAATTCACATGTGGCTTGAGCCAAAGCACGATATTCAGACTCCGCACGACTTCTAGAAACTGTGACCTGCTTCTTAGACTTCCAAGACACCAAACTTGAGCCTAGGAAGACAAAGAATCCAGTCATAGACCTCCTAGAAACAAGGCAAGATGCCCAATCGGCATCCGAAAAACCAGACAACCGAAAAGGAGAAACCGCAGAATAAAACAGGCCTTGAGCAGGTGAGGACTTGAGATAACGCAAAACACGATGAGCAGCCACCAAATGCTCAGTGCGAGGAGCTGACATGAACTGCGAAAGCTTATTAACGGAATAGGATATATCTGGACGAGTCACAGCCAAATAAATGAGTTTTCCAACAAGTTTCCGATAGTGAGTAGCATCCTCCAGCAAATCTCCAGAATCTTTCCCGAGCTTAGAACGAATATCCATTGGTGTTTTAGCTGGTTTACAACCAAGTAAGCCAAATTCTTCTAACAATTCCAGAGCATACTTGTGTTGACAGATAGAAATTCCAGTTTTGGATCGAGCCACCTCAAGCCCCAGAAAAAACTTCAGAGAACCCATGTCTTTAACCAAAAACTGAGCATGAAGTGTATCTTTAAAATGCTTGATCATATCAGCATCATTACCTGTAACTAAAATATCATCCACATATACTAGTGCCATAACTACAGCAGACCCATTCCTCCTTAGAAACAGAGAAGTATCAGCATGACACTGAGTGTACCCAGCATCGATCAAAACACTTGTTAATTTCTGATTCCACTGTCGTGACGCTTGCTTAAGCCCATATAAAGATTTCTGTAACTTACATACAGAATTAGGTAGAACTTTCTCCCCCTTAAGCAAAGAGTATCTTTGAGGCAAAGTCATATAAATCTCTTCATCAAGATCCCCATTAAGGAATGCATTAGAAACGTCCATTTGATCTAAAAACCAACTATTAGCAGCAGCTAAAGCAAGCAAAGTTCTAACAGTTGTAAGCTTAGCAACAGGACTAAAAGTATCACCATAATCCACCCCTTCAATTTGGGTATACCCTTTAGCCACAAGCCTCGCTTTATAACGCTCAACAGAGCCATCCGGATTGTGTTTGATCTTATATACCCATTTACAACCAACTGGGCGTTTTCCATCAGGCAATGAACAAATAGACCAAGTATTAGTCTGAGACAATGCATCCAATTCCAATTTCATAGCTTCTCTCCAATGATCAGACTTTACAGCTTTGGTATAACAGGAGGGCTCAGTTTCAGTGGTAATGGAGAGAATAAAGTTCTTAAAGGAAGGATGAAGTCTATTATAGGTAAGAAAATTAGAAATAAGATAGGGTGTTTGGGGTGAATCAGTAGGTGGAGAATTATGAACAAGGTGATAACAATGGTAATTGGACAAGTATGCAGGTCTTTTTGCCAGTCTACGTGGACTATCATTATCATCTGGAACATGCTCATCAACCTCAAAAGTAACAGAATCTGATAGTGTCTGTAAAGGATCATAAAGAAAGTGAGATGGAACAGAAGATATATCAGACACATCAGTGGAAATAAGATCAGATTTTGAAGTGTTTTGTTTAAATGGAAAAATGTCTTTATGAAATACCACATTTCGTGTAACAGAGACCTTATGTGTCTTTAAACAGAGTACAATATACCCTTTAACTCCAGATGGATAACCAAGAAACACTGATGCATTGGCTCTCGGACTAAATTTGTGACGATCCTTTTTCAAAGTAGAAGCATAACAAAGACACTCAAAAACTCGAAGATTGGTATAATCAGGTTTTGTGCCAGACAAAGCTTCAAAGGGACTCTTATTTTGTAAAACAGGGGTGGGAACTCGGTTTATAAAAAACACAGCTGCAAGAACACAATGACCCCAATAAGAAAGAGGAACATTTGATTGAAAAATCAATGAACGAGCTACATTTAAAATATGTTGATGCTTTCTCTCAACCACCGAGTTTTGTTCCGGAGTATAAGGACATGACCGAAAATGAACAATACCATTTGAGGTCAAAAGCTCTGAAAATTGTAACTCAGGAGCATTGTCCGAACGAATAGATTTCATTTTAACAGAAAACTGAGTGTTTACCAACTTCAAAAAATTAGAAAATTTACTCAAAACATCAGACTTTTGTCGAAGCAAATAGAGCCAAGTCACCCGTGTACAATCATCCACTATTGTTAAAAAGTATTTGTATCCATCAATTGTTGGAACATGAAATAGTCCCCATACATCAATGTGTAAGAGTTCAAATCACTACAAAAAAAATGGTCATTTCCAACGGGTAAATCCGTTGGAAATGGCCAAATTTCCGTTGGAAATTAACGTTTCCAACGGATTTCCAACGGATTTATCCGTTGGAATTTCGTCGTTAGAAATCGGTGTCCGTTGGAAAACCGTTGGAATTTTCAACAAAATTGCAACGAATTTTTCCGTTGGAAATTTCCAACGGATTTCCAACCGGCATCCGTTGGAATTTTCCAACGGATTTCTAACCGCAATTTCGGTTGGAAAATTCCAACGGAATTTCCAACCGCAATCCGTTGGAATTTTCCAACGGAATTTCCAACCGATATCCGTTGGAATTTTCCAACGGAATTTTCAACCGCATTCCGTTGGAATTTTCCAACGAAAAATTCGAAACATATTCCCGACCCGACCCGACCCTGACCCCGACACCGACACCGACACCGACACCGACCCGACACCAACCCGATCCAACCAAACCACGATCCCGAAACTCACTTTCCAGTAGATCACCCATCCTTCCACTGCTCCACCTCAATCCTCCTTAACCCTAGAGTTC